AGATGTCACTGGAATTCCAGGAATCGATCGACTGGCGGCATCCCGGTTTTTCTTTCCGAGGTATTCAGGATTGCGATAAAATGAAACTCTTTGGCGAAAGTGTTTTCCTACTTTACTCCCACTTGTAGGAGGAAAAATTATTCAATAAATCTATATCCAAAATATTGTTTTGCGGAATTTATTTAACTTTGTTTTATTTTTAGACACGTTTGTATTGAACATTTCTTTTTTAAAAAAAGTGATTTAATTATTAGTACACTTTAAAAAATTCTGGTTCAAATTCCGGTAAAAAGTACCGACACTCAGAGAGCCGGTACTTTTTACCGAAAAATAGGAGCATGCTATGGAGCAAAAAAATCTGATGTACCGTAATTTTTACAGTAATAATTACCGTAAAATCACTGAATCACTCTAATTAAATAAATATTAGTTTGAAAATTACAGTATAATATTTTATGTTAAAAATGGATACTGTTTATGCTCCCTAAATGATTTACATAATAATTTGATCCGAACTTTTTTTGCAGCGTGATACAGTACAATTACTGAATTACAATAAAATTACTGAATTCCTCTAATTAAATAAAAATTACGGTATAATATTTTACGGTAAGATGGATTTTGCAGATGATGCACCCAAAGTGCCGGTATTTTATATCGTAATTTGATTTGGAATTTTTTGCAGTGTTCTCTTGATTTTCAAAACGTAAGATAAATTTCAAAGCTACTTTTTAAACTAATTTTTATTTTCTTTAATCATTTATTTGTTATATATAAATTCCATACCGGTTTCTTCATTTTTTTTAGTTCCAGTTCTGGTGTAATTTTTTATTTCCTATTTTATTACCTTAACTTTAATCTTCCTTAATAATAATAATACAAAAAATACTTATTTATAATGATATTACATTGACAAAATTCATGGAAACATCTGTTACATCATAGCCTATTGCTGTGACTGAAGTGATTCAACTATTTTGGATAAAAATAACAACAGCAACAACGTTTTGAAAAGGTATTAGATGCTCACATTGGTTGACACAGTTGTTGCTGTGTTATCACTTTAGATACTACGATTCGAATTTTTAAGACATTGGGGTGAAAAATTAGATGCTTTTTTGATATTTAGGGCTTTCTGAAAAAGTTTTCATAAATTATTTTAACGAAAAGTAAATATAAAATAATTTTAAAAGATGGGTAATTACTTAGATAATGCTCCATAAAGGTGGGTGATAAATAATTGTTAATAGCTTCATTTGCTGTGTTCTTCGCAATAGTAAGAATTAAAGCATTAAAAGGGTAAAAATTTAAAAATATTTAATTTTGAAAAAAATATCTGAAGAAAAAATTAATAAATAAATACAGATAAATAATAAAATTTTAATATCCTATCTATTAATTGCAACAGAGTATGAAATAAAATTTACGAAAAAATATAGATTAATTGGAAGATTTTTTTAAAAAAATTAGCATTTTAATAAAAATTATAAGAGGAAAAAAAAATACTGTGACAAACATAGTCATGCTTCGTAAGATTAAACGAACAAATGAAGAACCCAAAAATTTTATTTCTATTATTATTATTATTTCTTGTAATTTTTTGTATTGAATCTTGGAATTTTAGAATTCGTTTCAAATTTCTGAAAGATAACTATGCGTTTCTTCTTTACTGATAATTTTTTTAATTGTCATTTGAAGCACTTCGAGGAAATAATTTTTGCAAAAATCCCATTTGTATGGAAAAATTATTTAAGAATTTTTTTCAATTGAGGGGAATTTTGTTATTAAACACAAAAATTTGCAGAATTTAAGTCATTTATTAGATAATTCTGTTTTTCAAAATTATAATTTTTCTTATTCACACATAAGTAAAAATACAAGAATGAAAAGCAATTTTTACAGGAAAAAAAAGATTTTTATTTCAAACTCTAAAAATTTGTGATAAATTTACTAGATTTTCAGAAAGTATCATTCATTTTAATACTTATCTTGTAATTTTAAAACTTCAAGTGTATGTGATAGATAATGGTGATAGATAATTGTAATCTGTTTATTATATTTTCTGATACAGTTTATTTAAAATTATGCTCCTTTGTTGATAACAGTTAAATAAGTGTTAAGTATTTTAGTTAATCTAAAATATCTTTCTGTTATAATAGAGAGAAGAGAGTTTTGATTGATGTTTTCAAATGCTTAATTGGCATGCTTTAAACGTACTTGACTCTTGTGGTTTCACTTTTATGAGTTTCACTATATTGCTTATTATTTCTGTATAGTTTCACTTTGTCAGAGCGAAACGAAACTTATGTCTTATAAGGAAATTCCACCAAGTTTAACGTAAAATTTTGATATCAAACAGCGATTTAATGATTTGGCAACTAATTTAACTCTCAATTCATTCGCCGAAACATAAACAGCTATTTCTGAGTCTGTTTTTATTAAATCTTTGACACAAATTCTTAGAAAACATAGGATTCACATAAAATTGAAAACATTTGGGCAAATGTATATACCAGGCACACGTGTGAAATGTTTGTAAAATTTAATCGTCATGGAAAAAAAAATCATGCATCATATAACAGGGTAAAAAGTTCTTCCTATCCGTAATATGCTTTAGTGGAGCAACAAAAAAAAGCTCAAATCTTCCCCTTTAGAAATCGGGTATTCTACAACAGTGGATGGTGTAATGAATTATAATTCACTAGATTTATAGCTCAGCAGAGTTTATAAATTTACAAAATTTTCAACAAGCTTTCTTTTGAGGTCCTGTTCTCCTTTACTACAGCAATCAATTTTAATATGAATACATCGAGCAAGTTAAATGGATAATTTATCCTATTTATAACTTTAAAACCAATATGCTGAAAATTAATAAATAAAATTTTAATCATGATAAATTAATAAATAAAACCTTACTCACGGTAGATTAATAAATGAAACCTTAATTAATTTTCAAAGGTTCTGACAATACATCTCCAGATAATAGTTGTTTATCATAAAAATATATAAATGAATTGCTTTGCAGAATAATTTATATAACAGGAAATAAGAAAATAATAAATTAATGGTATTTTATCTTGATAATCTAAAAAATAATATTATCTTAACATCCCTCTTAGTATATTCATATGTATATTTATTAAACCCCGATGATTAAAATTTTATGCCATTTATTACTAAAATTAGAATGTTGTGTTATATTTCATACATGAAGCTGCTTTATAATAATTGTAAACAAAGTATATTGATACTTAAAACCCTTATTTTAATTTCTTTTTTGTTACTTAAATAGTATTTAAAAGGAAATCTGTATTTATAATAAAGTTCAAAAACAAATCCCGGAAAATGATGTAATTTATTTCTTAATAATAAATTTTTCTTTTTTGTTGCAAAAAAAACTGACAGCGGGGAAGTCTTGGTATTCTTAATAAAGTATAGAATTAGATTTTTGTACTTTATTATTAAGAATGTATTCGAATAGTATTAGAATTCGTAAATAAAGTATATTATCTAAAAAAAAGTTTTCAAAACCTAATAAGTTTTCGTATAAAATTAAAGTTAATTTTGAAATATACAAGCATCATTGTGTAGTATTTTTTAGATCATTAATAACGTTTCTTCCTTTTTCAAGTAAATAAGTAAATAAAAAAGTATTTTCATTAAAACAAGTTTCAGTCATTAGTTAAAAAACTGAAATAACATTTATTCATATATTTTCTGATCGAAGCAACGCACATTTTATGAAATTGTAAGCATAACACAGCTTCAGATGCCAGATGTATGCCAGAGTGTCTGAGAAGTAAAATTACGAATTTTTGAAGATATAAATAGGCAAATTTTTGATGTTGCTAATTTGTGACTGTATTTTGCGAATTTTGAATACATTAATTTGCTGTTGTGACAGTGCTTTACGTTTAAACATAATTTATGAAGAAATTTCTTTCCTATTTCAGATATTTTAGGAAAAAGATGAATAGAAAAAAGATCAAAATAAATAAGCAAAAGTGGAAATAGATTCATGAGAATTGATTTTATTTCCCGAATATGAATAATTATGGTTGCAAGTAGCATTTTAAATTCAATGACCAAATATTATCCTACTTGATAAGAATCTTCCTTTAATAAAGTTTCTATTTCTGCTTCTTCTAAACAATTAATTTGACATTTCTCATTTGCAGAAAAAGGAATTAAATTTATCCGCACCTATGAAAAATGTATAAATATACTATTCGTGAATTTACTTAAAAAATATTTTAATTTAAATAACTTTACTTACAGATTGTATGGCACACTGCGAAATAAAGAATTACCAAAACTACCAGAATATGGGAAAATTTGCCGGGCTTTTGACACCGTGGGAACACCAAAAACTCGATAATGGTAAACTCCGTACTCCCTTTGTTAATAATTTTGGTAAAATTAACTATAAAATATGGTTTTATAATATGCGATAAAATTTGGTAAAATGGACCTTTGAGCATGGCATAAAAACCATTTATACGGTTAAATTTACTTTTCAGTTTTGTATTTTTTCCTAAAAGTGTGCTAATAAGAACTATAAATTTGAAAACCAGAATTTCTGGTATGCCCTTAGCCGATGAAAGGAAAAATTAACAAATGAATGGCTTAAATATCGAATATTCTAATTTTATAAACCAAAATTATGTTTTTTTTCTTACTAAAATTGTCACTTTTATGCACTACTGTAATTTCACTAGAATTGTTTTTTTCTGTGCACGTTACACTCATTTAGAGCAAAGAGATTACCTTTCAATAAGAAGACTTTACGTTTTATTTCTATGATTAAAATAATTTTTTGCGTTAATTAAGGTATAGAAAAATATCTTGCAATTTTTGCTGGAAATATTAATTTAAAATTATACAAATAAAAAATTGTCAAAATATATTTTTTCTAGAAATTAGTCCCTGAAAATCTGTTTTTCCTGATTTCATCAAAGGAGAGTTTTCATTTGGCGACGAATTTAATCCCTCTAGTAACCCTTCGCCGTTGCTGGGTTCCGCGTAACGAGAGCTTCTCCTCTTGAAGCTCCTTCTCATCCAAAAGGAACTGGTACAGATCTGCACCCCTGCTATCAGGTCAACAACAACCGGACTCATCGTTTTGATATCGAAGGAGGAAGTCCATCTCAAGACCTACAAGTGACCGGATCGATCGGATAGGAAACACTACCATTTGGTGCTCATTAAGAAATGGAAGAATAGTAAGCAAACTATAAAAAAAGAGAATAGATATCGAAGATATTTAAACGAGAAGAGAAGTGAAGAGAAATCTTGAAAATCGTCACCTTGTTGGGACGTGCATTTGCGCATGCGCATTTACCGTTGTCGCAGGATGATGCCATAAGTCGTTATGTAGCCTTACAAAGAACCCCAAGAGTGTTTAAGTTTTGAGTTCGAATTTTTCTCCATCTTCTTCGATTTTTCTCTCTGATGTGAAAATTTCCATCATTTTATCCGCAATAGGTGATTAAAAAACTCGACCTAGGCATGTTTTCGATATTTTTCATTACCTAATTTCACCCAGCACTATTTAATTTCTTTCGAAAGGTTGGAAATTTTTAATGAGAAAAAAAAAACTATTGATTACAAGTAAAATTGAGTGGTAAGTCTGCTTTCTTTGTTCAATAACTGATTTAATTTCGAAACATTCTGACGGTAAAAAAAAATTTTGCATTTAAAATAAACCGGATTATACATGATATTGACTCTGAAACACATATACTCCAAATAGCGTAATTAAAGTTATTTTATATAAAAAAAAATTATTTTAATATAAAACTGTATGAATATATGTTTATTGGTTAAGCTTTGTTATACAATATCACATTTGATTTGTTTTAAAACTATTTAAATAATAAATTTCAAAAATGAAAGATTTTTAATTAAAAATATTTAAATTTATTTAATATTTTAATGTGTTTTTGAAACTTACTCTCTATGATAACCGGAGTATTTTATGCTGCTGCATGTGTTGAAAATAAAATATCATTTTTACAGAGATATTTATTTCACAATAAATTTCGTTCTTGTTTGAATTTATTCCATATAAAGCGTTCTACTAATGAATCTTATAAGGAAATCGAAAAAGCATCAGAGATTGAAAAGTATTTATTGTAACACGGCACAAAAACCCCCTTAAAGGTATTTTAGCACTTTTTTAAAAACAATTTGAATTAATATTCAAAAGAAAATGACATTAGGAAAACTTAATACTTGACTGAAATAGAAAAAAATAATTATGTTAAATTTTTATTACAAACTTGTCATCGCTTATTAGATTAGGATTATCCTGCCTGAACAAAGTTTTAAAAAAATGTATCCTTAAATTTAATTAAATCAAAGTACTTAAAAAAAATTATTTGAATTCATGTTTCCAATCTTTCTCTTAAAAAACTAAATAGCGATTTTTTCTTCGCTGTTTTAAAACAAAGATTGACTTTTTTTTCACTTTACAAATAAAAAAATACTATTGGTGTATTCGTGTTGTAACTGTTTAGAATTCCTAGGTAAAAAAAGTGATGCGAATATTTTTTTAATATTTTTTAAGCTATATGTGTACTTTTGGTGTTGTTTCTCATCCATGGGACCGTTTCTAGAGTTTTAATGTTATTAGGGAACTATGTGTGTTTTGCAATTACGAGTATTTTAAATTAGGTAATAAATGTATCGAAAACATGTCTAGAAAAAGGACATAATTTGCGATTAATTGTACTTGAACTTTTTTTTGTTGAAGAATTATATTAAACACTGAACTGTTAAGTACATGTTCTTTTTCTATAATCATATTCTTCATACAAGAACTTGTTTAAAAAGATATGAAATAACCTTATAAGAACTTTTAAAAGCCTTCGTAATCCTTCTTATTCAAAAAAAAAAATTCGAAGACTCAATTTGTTGTCCATATATCCAGTGAACGGCTTTCTACGTGATTTTGTTTCTACTGTCCGTTGAACTCAGGTGTATTTATTACTTCAAAAGAAGCTATGACTTTATTTGAAGTTTCTCTAGACGTTATGTTAAACCTTGTATAAATTAGAACCAAACAAAACAGTGTCACTGCAGCAAACAAATTATGATTTAAAATCTGCAAAGGAAGTTAAGTAACTGTAAAATATATATATTTGAAGATTTTTTTTGTTGATCAGAAGCATAATGAGCATCGCATTACTTATGTTATTCGCAAAGAATTGGTGTTTTCTAGCATACTTTTGCAATCTTTTGCCTGCTTAAGCCTTTCTTTGACTCCATTTTGCTTAATAGCGGAAAAGTTTATTTGTTCATCTGTGCAAAGGTCACAAATATTAATTTCGGCGGCATCCGGCAAATAAGGGACGAATGTTGCAGCCTAAAAGGGCGAAGAGGAAAGACGAATCGAAGAACACGTCTTACAGAACAGCCCGATGTCAAGAACTATTGCCAAACAAATCACTCGAGACGACAACAAACGACGCTCTGACGATTAGGAGATAGTTGCGCAGGTGACCATGGAGGGAACGACCATGGTGACAGTGGGCGGTGGGGGTGACGGCGGCGAGGAGGCGGTGGTGAACGCGACCCTCAGCCCCCATGACGAGTGTATGAAAGAGCGCAAATGGTGGTGTTTCCTTCTGTCGAGCGTGTTCACATTCATGGCGGGACTCTTCATCATCCTGATTTGGCGCGCATTTGCTTTCCTCTGCTGCCGGAACAAGGAAAAGAGCGGCGCTGGGGCGGCGAAAGTCGCGAAGGTGACGGCCGCGGACCCGAAAGGAGGGGCGGTGGCCGGTGGAAACGAAATAGGATTTATGACCGAAGCGAAGGACTGGGCCGGAGAGCTCATCTCTGGGCAGTCGACTACAGGAAGGATTTTGGTAAGTCAAATATTATTTTATATATGCTTATTCTGTAACTATTTTCCACACTGACATTGTTTAACCCTTTGACGCACTCTGGACACCAGTGTCCATGTTGTATGTTTTTTTTTCTGACTATCTAATTACAAGCAAAAATATATTTCGGAATCATTTAATTATCAAAACAAGCCTTTAAGTCTTTTAGTTACTAAAAAATCTGTTAGATCAGAGGTTCACAAATGGTGTTTCACTTGTTAGTACTTATTATAAAGAGTGATGAGTTTTGAAGCATTTGATTATAGTTAGATCCGACATATAACTCATAATTTATTTTATATTACAGTTGCCTTTATGAAATTATTCCAAGTAAAATGCCAATGAAATAGAAAGGGAATTTTTTAAAGGAAAATTAATATTTCTATTAACAAGATATTGAAAAAATTATGAAGAAAACAAGCACTTGTAAACTATACCATTAGTATTATCTATTGCGTTTTTCAAGGCAGAATACCTCAATTCTTTTATATAAAAATATATTTTCATAATAACCCTTTTCAGCGTTTATAGCAGTTCCTTTAAGTTTTCATTTCAGAGTAAACCAAAATTCTGCTTGTTTTAATCATTTTTAGCTTATGCATATACACCGGAAACAAATTCATTACTAGACTAGATATAGCATAAGGAAGGACAACAAATTCAACTGACAGACATAAAACCTAATTTAAGATAATTAATGATAAAGCTATGAAAAATCTTCATTCTTCTAACAAAATATTTAAAATATATAATCTTTTATAGGTCATAACGTTTCACAGTTATCTTAAACTTTATTTTTGAAGTGGGGATTCCGCCAAAAAGAAGGCTGATTATTCAGGGTACCATAGCCAAAAAAAAAAAAAAAAAATGGGAAAAGCTGTGTTAGAATATGGAAATTATATTTGTACTAACATTTAAAATCCAAAAAAATTAGATGCAATTATTTTTTTCAAATTTAAAAATTAATTAGTTACTGATTTTGCAAAAGGAAGAAATTTTATTGATGAATAAATGATTCTGTTAGATATAAATAACTTCGAATATGTGCAAATTTGAAAAATTATTCTTTGGAAGTAAACGGTGTTTGGAAGATTTTACCATTAACACAGAAAAGGACACTCATGCTGTATCTCCCAGCAATAAATTATTAAAATGCTCAATACAATATTTTTCCATATTTGACCCAAATTTATAGAAAATAATGAAAAAAGTATGAAAAATATGTTTAGTAGAAATGCTGCGTCAAAGGGTTAAGAAAACTGAACAATGGTTTAACATCTTAGTTTATATAACTAACACAATATCTAAATATTCTGCTACACGACTAAGCTATTAGGATCAAATTATCATGCCAGTTTTGCGTTTCTGCGTGACAATAAATTTAAAGAACATCAAATTATGGTTTCTCTTCATCAGCAAGTTTTAATCAGAAAAAGGGTATGCCTATATTTTTGAATCAACATACATAAATTAAACTTTAACGATTACGATAACGATTTTAATAGTCATGATATTTTCCTTTTCATTATCTCAAACTTTCCTTTCACTCAAAAGATAAATAATTTTAGAAATTTAGCCTTTTATTGTAATCATTAAATTATCATTAAAAAAGTTGTTTTGTCTTGCTAAGTACTTCTGAAGCAGAGAAAGTTTTTTTTTTTTCAATTTGAGTGAAAATAGTAAAAAATATCTCTTTTATTTAAGTTTCTAGTGATCTTAGAACTTTTTAAACTTTGAACTTAAACTTGAAATGGTTTATAATATATCAAATAAGACCAAATCTGAGACGATAAGACTAATAGCTTAGTTATAATGCTTTAATTTAAAAAGTACATTGTTTGACTTGTACTTATTCACGCATTTAACATTGCTATCTAGACAAATAAAATATTGTTTCGTATGTATTTTTATGCGCTGAATACAACGAAAGCAAACGAGTCGATGAAACTGACAGCTCAGAAGTTGCAAGGATTTTTTTTAAATTTTGAATTTTGTACTTTGATATCTTTCGATTTTGCTTATAAGAATACTCAAATATTATCTCAGTTGTCTAAGCAGCTTCGAGATAGCAATATCAAAAGGGAAAATAAATTTAAGTCCAAAATGATTATTTTTTTTTATATAGAAACTTTTGCAACTACTAAACTATTAGTACGTGTTTGCTTTTATTCAATTCAGCTTAATTCACGGAATACGGTACTTAATTTGCATAGATAACCAATTCAGGTGAGTAGATATGTAAAGTGCGCAATGTAATAAAATTTTTTCTATGATTGTTAAATAAAATAATAAATATTTATTAAAAGTTATATTTCGCATAAAATTATCTTTAGTAAAACGAATTTTAAAATTGTGTTCAAAATTTTTTTAATCCACTTAAAAAGTTTTAAAGATATGACAAAATACGAAAAAAATAAGATAAGCAATAAGAGACCCAGACTTTGGACCGCACTCCTGACTAAGTTATAGGGACGATATTTCCTAGATTGGGGCTTCCTCCTACATTTCGGAAGTCAGAAATCGTAACACGTCGAAAAAAGGTATATTTATTCAGCGAAAATGCGTTTTTTTGTCTGATTATTTTTGTGTCTGCACTTATTAATTTACATATTTGAGGTAAGCCCGGCACTAAGATTGAGTCTTAGGACCTGGATATACAATCATTAGATCAAAAGTTATTCAGGGTGGTCCGCTATTTTTTGGTGCACTATAGAAACATGTTTACATTACAGCATGAAACATGTTTACATTATGGAATATTTGTACTTATTTTACATTTCTATCAATAGCACATTGCTTTTGCAATCGCTACTGTGAATAATTCATGATAGGAAAATAGATAAAAGAAGGCAGAAAATAAGTAAATCGGTGGCACATTAGAAAACATTTATATTATTTAAGTTTTTGACAGTTTAGATATGATCTGCGATTTCACAAAATTTTTCATTAAAAAATAAGCATTTGTTTTTAAAAAAAATAGTGAAAGAAACATAAAAAATTCTGATGAATCTGATGCAATACTTTTTACCTTTATTTTCAAAGAGAAAAAAGTAAGAAGCAAAAAAAGTGCATTTGTGTTAATCCGTGGTTGGCCTGAAATATTTTATTTATGTGTGCAAACTTTTATTGATGTTATGAAAAAAGATTTTTGTCATCTTTAGAGAAAATTATTTAAACAGGAAAAATAATTTAGAGCATTTTCAAACTGGTGTGCACTCATAAGTGACTTCTTATTTAATACAGTTTTTTTTTGTTTGTCAAATACAGTATTTTTTATATTTGTTACAGTTAATTTTATTTAATTACGCTTTGTTTTCCGGCCCACTTTTACGAACATATTTTACGAACTTAGATTTTCGAAATTTTATCCCTGAAATTAACGTTACTATTGATATCTGAATTTACTGTAAATTTATGTAACTCAAGAGCGTGTTTATTAAAAAGTACATTTATGTCATAGTTTAGATAATAAATTAATAATTTATTTAATTAGTTTCAGTAAGGGAGCTGTAAATTTACAAAATTCATATTACATGCAAGGAAAATATTATTCACGCTTATTCAGTTCAATACATTTAATCATAAAAGTTAATTTAAAAATAAGCTTGTGAAATATAAAACATGTCTAATGATGGACACAGTTTCATCAACTATAATTAGATTTTTGAATTTTTAATTCCTTGAACTTTAAAATAATATGCTGTGCATTTAATTGATTTATCAAGCTAAATGGGAAATCCGACTAATCGCAAGCCGCCATTGTCATTTTACAATGCAACGAGCTAATTGGTATCGTCTGCAATGCCTTCTAGTCCATCTGAAAGGTTTTAGGATTATGTCAATGAATCTACTTATCCTTAGGCCAATTAGAGAACACATCATCCACTGCTCAATTTGTCTGATTATTTCCAGCCATTTGTAATAAAATGGGTGAATTAGTGACTTAATAAAAAGCGTTCAAATAAAAGCCAATAAGTTAGAGCTAAGGCTAGCTTCAGTGAAATGGGCTCTTGAATTATTTTTGCCTACGAAATAAATATTAAACAACGATTGTGCCCAGAAATTATAAGTGCAGAAAATGATAGTGTGAATAAAAAAGGTACAAAATGTTTCAACAATAACGAGCATTTGAAATACTTCCATTATCTAATAAAAGTTAAATTTTTATATTAATAAATATTACATTTATCAAAGAACATAAGGAAGAAACAAATATTAAATTTATCAAGGAACAGAACATTTATCAAAGAACAGTATCTCTAACATCTTCTGCTTTATGTTTTTCCGTTAGAATCTTTATGCTTAAGATTTTCTATCATTAACTTGATAAATAACTTTTAAGTAACAGTTAAATCAGCGCTTGCAGGAATTTTAAACGAGTTTGGTGAGAAATATTTAGAAAATTCTTAGGTTCTAGTCATCAAAACCTATCAGAAGAAAGTAGAAATCTCGATATTCGTAACATTTCTTTTTAATTTGCATAATTTCAGATATATACATGGAACTAGTTTGACCCATCTGAAACTATCCAACAATGTTAAAAAACTAATTTATTGAGAAAAAAATTTCGATTAAAAAAATAATAATTATTTTTTTATGATTTAATTTGAAATCTGTTAAAAGTTTTAATAAAGCTGATGTTATGTATAATTGCTGCCTGCATGTTATCGAATTTTTTAATGACTAACGTACAGGGAGCAAAAAAATGACAGCCCTGAATAACTTTCGATTTAATGATCGGATTTTCACGTTCTAGGACTCACTATTAATAGCTCGAGGGGGTGACCTTAAATATGCTAATTAATAAGTACAGATGATATTTTAAGTAAGGAAATCAGACACAAAAACGTACATTCTCTAAATAAACATATTTTTTTCCAATGGATTCGGATTTCTGACCCTTTAACTATAGTGGATAGCCACAATCTGGGAAAAATGGTAAGGAGAGTGCTCAAAAGTTTGGACCCCTTAATGTTAGTTTTACTTTTTGCGAATTTCGCTATATCTCGAGAACTTTTAAGCGAATCGAAAATTTTTGCTCACAATTATAAAATTCGTTTATCCAAAGATAATTTCCTGCAAAATATTTATTATAAGTAAATATTTTTTATTTTACTTAACAGTGGTCAAAAAAATTTTAAATTGCAATGCATACATTTTTTTGCATCTTTTAAAGAATGTTACTTTAAATGGCAAAATTTGAGCGAATTGGCTTTAGTAGCAATTGAATTTCAAAAAAGTCAGATACCTAAAATTCGAATTCTCAGGAAGTATTCGACCGATTTGGCACAAATTGTGTACTTTGCCATTAAAAACTACATTCAATATCATCTTATTTACTTACTACTTAAAATATTATCTGTATTTAATAATTAGCATATTTGAGCTCACACTCTCGAGCCATTAAGATAGAGTCTTAGAACGTGAAAATCCGGGCATTAGATCAAAAAAATATTAAGGGTGTTCCAGTATTTTGTTTGCACACTGTATATTAATTTCTTATATTACAACTTAAAACTCAAATCAAAATCATTGAAATTTCAAAAATACCATTTTTAAAATGCAACATCTTTTTAAAACAATGAATATATTGTAGTTTTATTATTTTCAGTGAATAATATATAATAAATATTGAGTTTATTCACAATACTTCACTACACAGAGCTACTCTAGAGAACAATAGTTTTAGGGATAGTTTTAAGAACTTATTAACAATAGTTTTAAGGAATTTCAAACTGATGTAGATTTCTAATTAGCACAGTCTCATTTATTATTAGATAGTTTTTCTCATTTATTTCTCATTAATTTCGCACATTTCTAATTAGCTAAAATCATATACGTGGATTCTAATAAGCCTATAAGTTTCAGGTTGAATAGAAAATGCTCGAGACTTTTTTTCAATTAGCCTTAAATGACGGAGACATTTGTAAAGAGCCGGATTCCTTAAGTTAGCCTATAGCATTCGTAACAAAATATGTAAATTAAGCTTCGAAAGTTATGAAAGCTCTACATTTAGAATTTCAGAAATCGATGTTAGCGCATTGTAACTGAATTTGTTCACTAAATTTTCAGATTGTTTTCCTTTTTTTTTTGCACAATGCATTTTAACATTTGATGACATCAAGTAACTGATGTAGAAAAATTAATTTCCACAATGCAGAACGCACATTTTAACTATGCATCCATTTTGTAAGTTCATTTTTTCCTCTTGATTTTTCCATCTCCCTTTTTTCCATGTAAAAAAAGTGCATTTCATACCCTAACATGTAATTTTTTTCTTCCTTTTTCATAAAAAATGCATTTACTATAAAAGGCATTCGTATTGAATAAATAAATATATATTGCAAAACTTTTAATTAGGCATGTGCACATTAATTTAAAATGTAACCAGAGTTTTAAAATGCTTGCCTTTTTTTATTTTTATTAGCAACTAGTGTGGTCGTTAACTTAGAATCTTCATAATCATGCAAAAATGAAAAAAAAAGGCTTTCAGAACTAAGATTTGGATTGCATCCAAAATTTAAACTCATGATTTTTTATTCACAATTAAGTAGATTGTTGATAACGTCCCTGAATGACACTACTTTTACTAAAATATTTTTACTTCTCTAAAAACAGAACTGTGCCCTTACTTTTTAATTTAAGATTGATGTTGTTTAGATTTGCTTATAAAAACAATTATCTGAATGCTGATAAGTGTTCTTTTATTCAGGAATTGCTTGATTTTATGATAAGAAAGCAATAAAACAAACAAGTTCCTAAAAGATAAATATTATTAAAATTAAAATTGATAGTTTTATTATCTAATACGAACCAAATAAAAAAGCTCACTTCTAATAATCCCATTCAAAACAGAAAACGAAGAAGACCACCAATAAGGTGGCTGGACTCCGGCGAGAAGAACTTTCTTATAGTAAATAAGGAAAACTGGAAGAACCTTGCTGCGGATAGGACTAGATGGCAAATACTTCTTAGGACGGCCTTGGCCTGTAACAGGCTGCAGTGCCTTGAAGGGAGAAGTGTTATTATCAATAGATTAAAATGATAACATGTAGTTAAAATAAAATTTCTGAAGATATCATTTCAGTTAACGTATGCAATAAAATGGGAATGTTAAATGCATTGCTCATTTATAACATCGAAATAAACTAAATCAAGAGCTTTTCAATTTATGTTTTTTTTCTGATTTTATGAACGTCTTTTTCTGATAAACTTTTTTTCTCTCTTGAAATCAAAGATTTTCAAAAAATATATAAAGGTTTTTGATAAAAATAAATTCATTCACTGAAATTAATTCACTACAATGACTTTTTAAAAATGTTGAAGCAAGATATTGATGCCGCATTGATAATTAGGCATCAAGTTAAACAGCATTTATTAAAAGTTCAAATGGTTTTAAATTTTTCTTCTAATTTCACTCGGTAGCAATTTTTTTCTGTTGCATGAAATTCTTTAACATATTTTAGATACTTTCGTATTGCTGATTTCAAATTTGCAATCGATTTCTCTCTTCAAGCAGCAGTCCCCTTCCCCGTCAAAATTTACATGTTTAAAAACATATCATAGGTTTTAAATATATCATGTAACATATAACAGGAAGCCACGTAAATGTTGCAACGAACTTCTTGGGGAGTTGGGACACATCATCGATATTGTAATTGCATAGAAGCCCATGCCTGGAAACGCTGTTGTTCGCGGCTAGGGTCACTTTCCTTTTATAAACCGTGTCTTCGTGTGCATTTGGACAATTCATGATAGGGAAGCACTCCTAGTAGTTTTCGACAGCCTTTTCGGGCATGGATTTCTTAGCAATTTTAATCCTGATGATTTGCCTTATCTTCCCTGGAAACTTGTCGTAAGATTTATGTTATTCTTTGGTTATATATAACATTTTTAAACTTGTACATTTGGACAAAAAAGAGCTTAAAAATGTTATTTAAAAAATGTAGCTTTAGAAGCAAAACTAATTTAAAATCCCTACATTTGAACTAGGCAAGAACTAATATTTGAAAAAATGCAACAAAAAATTTGTTCCACTCTTATTTACTCATTGAAATTCTTACCTATTAATTGTAAATTAGTAATTTAATAATTGCACGATAATTTTAGCTTCACTTCAGATATTATAAATAATAATTATGTGGAAATGCAAAACTTTTTTTGGGCAAAAGAATTATTCAAAAAATTATATTTGCTTGCCAAGTAAACAAGTAAATATATTTGTTTATAAGTAAATATATTTTTATAAAAGTTATAAAGATAGTTTTTCTCATTTATTTTGTATTTTATATTTTTAATATTTGATCTTTATATTTTAATTTTAATTCATCAACCAAAAATTTATGCTTGAGATTAGGATTTTTAGTTTTCATATACTTAAAAACAAAGAATTCAAAGTATTGCATTGCTTCAAAATAATAAATTTATTTATGAACAAAAGTTTCATATACTTAAAAACAAAGAGTTCAAAGTGGTGTATTGTTTCAAAATGATAAATTTATTTATAAACAAAAGTTTCATATACTTAAAAACAAAGAATTCAAAGTAGTGTACTGTTTCAAAATGATAAATTTATTTATAAACTATAGTTTCATATACTTAAAAACAAAGAATTCAAAGTGGCGTATTGTTTCAAAATGATAAATTTATTTATAAACAAAAGTCTGTTAGCAACAGTTAAATTTCTTTCTAAAATTTTTTTATAATTTTGTTGTTTTTGTAGCTTAAGAGATTTCCTTCCTTTATTGATGTAGTTATCTGATACAAAAAGTTGAAGACCACTATTTTAAATTGAAGACTTTCACTCTTTCCCCCCCCCTGCTATATTTGTCTTCATTTCTGTCTTAGGTTTTGTCTTATGAGTTAGGCTTTGACGTATCTTTTGTCTTCTTCCAGCAAATCCACATTAATGCAACAAAAAATTTTCTTACTTTAAATTTTTTTAAATGTTCTATCGATTTCACATAATATCACAGAAATGTTAATTAGTTTTTTCACTTAATATTATTTATAATTATTTACCTACGTGTCTCTTAATTTTTAAACATATTCTTTATTTAAACTTCATTTACAGTAGTTTTTTTATGCTTGAAATGGTCTTCATTAAATATTTCAGTCATTGATAGCTCAAATGCAATCATTTAAGCATAACGTAAATAACTAAATCAATGACAAAGATAATTTGGGAGTTGATAAAAAAAAACGTTTAAAAAAAGTAAAAAAAACGAAAGATTAAAAATGAAATAAAATTCAATTGCGAAGATGTTATGTTATCATAGCGACAAACAATGTTCACTATGGCAACGGTGAAATAAAATTATTTATTGTTATTAGATTTAACTTCGAAGAAAATTAACATTTGTCAAATTCTTTTTCTACAAATGAATTATAAAGAGTGCTATTTAAGAGGTAATATTATAAAAAGCTGCGGTTAGCAAAATTAATATATATAGANGTGATATTTTTTTTTGGATTAAGAAGACTATATATATATATATATATATATATATTACCAAAAATGGAAGAAAGGACGAAAAAGGTGCTATTCCAAGTTAATTACTTTAAAAAATTTATTAAATCCTAATAGCAGAAACTACAATAATTTTCAAAAATAAATTGAAAATTTTTATTATTAAATTGTTAAAAGTATAATATTTTCTGTCGCATCAAAAATTAGAAACATATATATTTTTTAAAAATTAATTTAAGCGTCTCTTTGAAGTTGCAGTCTACTTACTGAATAATAAAACAGAAAAAAAAGGAATTTTAAATATTTTTGTTAAAATATGTCTTAGATTTCTATACATCATATTTTTCATAAAAGTTGAGCTTGGCGCATGCATTTTAACAGCCTAAAAATATTATAAATAGATGCAACGAAACGCATGTTTATATTTGTATTTCTTTCCATTTGCTCACAATATTTTATTCTATTTGAATATTTTTTTTAAAAGAAAAAAAATGTGAGATTCTAGCATTTTATAAATAATTTTTCCTCGACATAATACGTGAGCTGGAAGCTTTCCAAGCCACTAACGTTTTCTGTGTGTCACATTCGGTTACACACGAGTTTCACAAAATCTTTGTTAGTTTTTTTATTTTATATTTTTACTCACCACTTCAATCATGAATGGAAAGGGGTTGTACTTTCTCTCAGGTTTTCATAATCTAGTGAGCACATAAACGGTTAATTTCAAAGAAAAATAATCCCTCAAAACTACCTGGAGGATTACTAATCATGGAGCCTCGCATGACATATTTAAGTCCTCTTGCACGATATATAGACATGAAGGATGACTCTCCGAATTAATCATTTTAAATTGTTGGCTGTCTCATCAATTAATAATTTCTTTATATTATTTAAAATAATGATTTTTCTCATAATTTAATGTGTAAGTCATTTTATTAATAGCTGTTATGAGAAAGTTCGAAGTTATTTTAAAATAAACCGCATTTTTATGTATTTTTGAATATTTTTGCTTACAATAAAAGTGATTTCATTATCTGAATGAAAGGTGCCACCGCCATTAGTATAAACTTTTAAAATCCATGATGAAAATTGAGAAAAAAATACATACATTAAGGGTGGCAGATTATTATTTAAGTAAGGAAAAAAACAAACAAGAACGCTATATAAATCTAATGAATCAAAGAAGTATAGCAGAAATTGGCAAATGCTTTTGCTATAATAGTGATGAATTTAATTCTTATTTTATAACCGTCGTTGAATGGCCGACCCAATTTGAAGTTTGCGACTATCAATGTTCAACTCCAACTCCATAGCCATGTAATTTTTATACCCAATCCAGAAGACAAGGGAACTCCTGGATCAAGTATCAGAAGAAATTTGCTTTTATGGAGGACTCCTTGATGGAAGTTCACATTTTCGTTACGTAGAGAGAAAAACCACGAAACCTCCCACAGTTAGCTTAACGGCGAGGGCTCTCTAACCTATGGTACGTCTACCACTTAGGAAAGCTTACGTCAGCACTGTGGGGGGATTCGGAATTCGTATCTACCAGCCATTGCTGGGGTTCGAACCCGGCTCATCTCATGGGAAGGCGAATGCTCTATCACCTGAGCCACCACGGTTCTGTCGACTCAATTGTCGAATGTAAATCAATAAATAATTTGGATATTTATGTAAAAAACATGCATTGTTTAAAATAATTTGTATTAAAAATAATTAAGCTTAGAAAAATAAATTAAGTTTTAATTTGAGATCAAAACTACCATTTTAAATTTGATTTCTTTCTAAGACAACGTTCGACTACAGAAATCCTAAAAATATCAAAAAATTAATAGCTACTGTCGAAATAGTGACAATTTAAAGCAAAAACGAATCAACAGGTTGGTTAAATATTATTCTTTGGACTAGCCAAGATTTTAGTAGAGCTCTTTGCAATCGATTATTGCCGCTTTTTTGTAGAATTTTATTATACATTTAAAATAAAAATATCAAATCATAAGATTTTTAAATTTTAACCATTAAGGATATTTTCCGTCAGCACTGTGGTTGGTGTGAGCTGAGTGCGGAATCAGTATCGAATAGTCGAACCCGGGTCTTCTTATTGGCAAGTGAGAGCTCTATCCCCTGAGACCCCGTGGCTCTAAATTGGTGAATTGTAAATATAACTTAATGTCAGAAATATATCGAAAAAGTAGCTGTTATTTTTGCTGCATGAGTTTAAAAAAATGCGCATTAGGATAAGCAGAAAACAATAAAAATTTATTTAGTGCAGTTTAAACAATTTCCTTTAAGTTCTATATAAAACGCAATTCCCCAACCATTTTTTAAAAAAGAAATTTTGAACTAAACAAGCTATAAAATGTAGTTTTTAAGGCTAAAAATAATGCAATCAAAGAAACTTCAGGTGTAACATAGTTTAGCAGTTGCTGCCGCTATAAAAGTGGCAAATTGTAAGCAAAATTTTATAGTAGAAATATATGACAAAATCAATTTTTATTTTTAACTGTACGGGTTTAAAATGTGAACTATGCTAACCA